TGTGTTCTGAACCCTTTCTATCAGAACCAGTATTAACTGTTTCAGCAGTTTGAGCTATAGTAGCTCGTCTATTGGATCGGACCACACGGGCCAGCCCTACATGGAGAATGATGTTTTTCTGTTGTTTTTGTCAAAGGCATTGATCTTTGATCCTGACAGACTGAAAGAGTGTTTTACTGACCCGGTTCATCTTGATAATGATACATGGTTTCCCCTCAGCGTATCCAAAGCTGGTGTCGGGCAGACCAGAGCACTGACGCAGCGTACTGCGCTTAAACTGACAAACTTTCTTTATCGGCTCATCGTCCTGCTCAGTGTATTCACCCACCAGACACAAATCATTTTGCTCCTGAAGACTGTCATTATAATCTGCGGAGAAGAAAACAACAAAACAACAAATATATATCAATCCTTTGAATACAAAAGTCTCTACTGGGCTTTTATTGTGATGATCACAATGCTCATCTTAAAAGGTATTTCCTGTTCTGAATTTAAGAAGAAAACAAATCAGCATGTCTGCTGTGGAGAGGCCACGCCTCCTGCTGGATGTCCACAAAGTCACCTGTTCACAGATATGATTCACCTGTTCAGAGGTTTTTGAGAAAGCAGACAGATGAAACTAATGAACTATATATTTGAGCATAAATTTGTTTTTGTGGTTCAAGTTTTCAGGTACAATGTCTTTGCTTTAGGAGGTCAGAATAATAAAGTTTGGTGTAAGATTTTGTAGGTCAGAGCTGATGGTTCTGTTATAAACTCTATCAGTTAAAACATTTGTCTGATCTTTTCAGAACCTGATGCAAAGACTGTAAACAAAATGGTATATCAAGTATTTGGGCTGAACGTAGAGCAGAACAGTGTCAGACCTAATTAAATATTTGGAACTTAATTTTAATTTACTAAAGACAACCTTGAGATTTTAACTCTGCAGAGCAGGATATGTATGTGTACTCACTCTGCAGGAGGTCATGCAGTTGTTGGATGTACTGATTGTAGTTTGTCGAATCACTGTGGTTGAAGGAGATTTCCGCTGCATGAGGACGAATCACCAAACCTGCACTCATAACAAATCTATAATCAATAATAAAACACTGAAAATAAACGACCGAAACAGAAATTATTTTAACAGTAGAGTGATTCATAGAAAACACAATCACCAATAATTGTAATACTAATTTACATTTTATTGTTCAGAAAAGGGACAGACAGACTGCATTATAACATGGATACATTTACATACAACATACACTGATCCACCATAACATTATTAGCACTG